CAAACGTATATTTGCTATAACAATCGACTACGTTTATTTTTCGCATTTAAGTATTGTTTCGAGACTACTTTCCTTTCCTTTAAGTATGCACTAATAATCTTATTTTTTTCATATTTTCTTCTATATATAGCTTCTTATACATACCCTTGTATATTAACTTACTATAGATTGACTTTTTGGGCCAGCTACTCGTATGTCGACTGACACAGACTGCCGACAGTCAAGGCCATCAGGCGCACCTATTTGCCTCCCTTGTTAAAACTGATATGTCATTGCTGTTGGCTGGCCTTAATACACTTTTTCCTGGTCATACCAATCTTATCAACACTCCGGCTATCAGCACTCCTCCAAGCCTAAGTGCCCCAGCTAAAGCTCCACATATGCCTTCCGAAGCCGCTGCTGCGGTATCTGCAGTGAGAAACCATCTGATCCGACTTAATTTGGAAGCTGAACATGATACTGCGCGGTATCATGAAGCCCGACATTCTGACAGACCTTCTTCAACACAAGCTCCGCAATCATCGACAGATGATCATGCTTGGGTGAAGGAATCTTCCTCAGCCACTTCTCGACGGCACCACTTCTTGCACCGACATAAAAACCACTCTTCTCAGCATTCTACTGGCTCCAAAAATAATGGAAAATCGAGTAAACAGAGCCTGAATGAGGCTAGCCGAAATACACATAAAACGAATGACACAGAAAGACAATCACAGATGCCTTCGGCGTCAAAACGTAATGATTTCTCCAGAGCAGCTCAGGGAAGACGTATGGATTCTTATTTTTTGAAACTGGCTACTTTGAATGAATTTTGAATTATTCGTACATCACTTTTTATAATATTTGCATCCATTAATTTTCAAGCGCCACCCTTGCCTTAAACATGCCTTGTTTTATATACTGTTTAAGGCTAGATAGAATATTTTATGGTAATTTACTACTAATCGATCATTTGTTTTTACGTATTCATCGTTTTTCATCAAATGGAAAACTAAGTATTTTTCATAACCCTTGTTTTCTATATCCTTAATCTTCTGGAAACTTTCTGACTCATTGAACTGAACTAGGCTTTTGGCGTTTTGTGAGCTGGTTTTTCCATTTTCTGCCTTTGCCTCAATATTCCTTTCCACTCTTCTCTACCTCATTTATATTTATTGTTCTCTTAAATATATCATATTTTCATTCTCACATTTTTTATATTCTATTTTGATTCACTCTTTCAAAAGATTTTATTGCCTATTTTGTCTTGTCTATTCTTTTCATTTTAAGATTTAACATCTTTCATTTTTTTGTCCTAATTATCAGGAAGAATAGATGAATATCCTATATGCTGGGAGCTTCGCTTACGTCCCGCTTTTAAGCTCATCGTTCAGCTTACCAGGAGCAAACCGGCTCTCTCCGTGATTCGCTTCATCCTCTTGCCGCTTGTTGAAATTTTCAGTAGAATGCTATTTGCCCTGCCTTTTCCATCTAGCTCGCACTTGCCTCTGAGTCCTTCCCTTCCTACTGTTGTTTCTACCAGCACTGATGATAGTTCTAATGTGGATACTTCGAGTAATAAAGTACCACTTAATCAAAATATCGATCTCTCTGGCCCGATACTGATGGCTCAGCCCGTAGATATAACTGCCTGGCTTCGTGGAGATAAATACGCATCCTTTGAGGTATCTTTATTTTTATCACTGGATAATTATTCTTTCATTAACCAAACTGAAGTTCTAGGATTAATACTTCATTTGTCTTGAATTTTGCTCATCTTGTCCAATATTTTTACTTGATTGTGCCAAATTCAGCTCATTATTTCAGCTTATGTCTTGCTTATCATTGAATTTGCTCAGGGTGTTTCCAAAACTCTTTGTACACTTAAAAACATTTACTGTACACGCCAGCATTGAATTCATTGGCAGATTAAGTCACCTTTCCATTCACTGCTTTCTGTCCACCTAACTTCCATCCGATTGCCACTTCTCATTGCTACATGAGGCTATTATATATAAGCTTATTAGGCTTGGCTGCGTTTTTAGATAGACTATTTGTATCATTGGATCTCTTATTTGTTTTGAAATGTTGGGCTTAACATTTTAATCAGCTTACTTAAAACCGAAGAGGGATTGGTTTAATACTGATTGTTTTTATCTTGTCCTGCGGTGAAGGAATACCACTCTAATAGAAACTCAACAAATACTTGACCGATATTTATCGTCAGTTGAAGCATCTCATGATTTGGTTGGTTGCTGTGTGCTTCTTCATATATGCTCAAAGATGAATGGATCCAGATTTGACAGGACAGTTGTTTCCCTACTAACATCACTTGCAGTTTGATTCTCTTGTTTTATTTACATCCATCCGGCTCTTCATGCAGACTGGAAGATAAAGTGATATGAAATCATTATGGTGTACTTCGAAATGGAGCTTTTCGCCAAATATAAAATTACTATTCTTAAGTCAAGAAGAATTACTATACTAAATCACTGGCGGAGTCCGCAAATTCCATTATACTCCAAATGAAAACAAAATGTATTTTTCCGAATTCATCGTATTATTTATCTAGCTTATACACGTACAACCTTTTTCTATTTTCTTATCCTTGTTTGCTCCTTTGACTTTCGTTTATCTATCTACAAACTTTTCTCACATTTTTAAATTCTTATTTTGTCTCATCCAACTCGCTTCCAATAGGCTTGGCGCGATCGCCTTCTAACAGTTTCTTCTCTTGAGACGGCTGCTTTGGTTGCCTCCGCTTCTATTCATGCTGATTTTCCTGGACTTGGACTCAGCCTTGATTCTAGCCGCCAGATCTCGCCTTGCCGAATTTCAGAGGATAATTCCTCTTTAGATCCTCACCTGCTATGGTTAATGCGGAAGTATGCGACACGCTGGCGAATAGCCACTTCCAACGCTGCTTGGGCCAAGCGCTGGGTTATTAATTCTGATAATGATTGTCAATATCTTTCAATTAGAAAACAAGCCATCAAGCCCAGTAAGTCTGGCAAAGTGTGAACTTGACTATTTTATAGGCAGTTCAAAAACCTAAGGAATTACTTACAATTGAATTAATTTTACTCGAAGATTGAAAACTAAGATGGTGTGGGCTTTAACATGGCTGAGGTCTCCTTTCATTGTATATAAGTTGGGCGGCGTTGTTTTTACAACTTGTTCGTATTGTCAGGAAGAGATAAGTCTATTTTGAAGAGTTGTAGTGTGGTGTTAAGAATGGCAAGGCTCACCGGCAATGCCAACTATGATACTGGCTAAGCGTCTGGGGATCTATTAAGCCCATGGCCTGATTCTGGAAAGTATCTTGTATACTATGGGCTCCGGACAAACTACGTTCCTTCAGGTTGTCATGACAGCAGGAACAAGTTGCAAAACAAGGTCAGACAATTTGTAAATCAGTTTTGTTAAACTAATTTCGTATAAGGAGAGTCGAATCCCGTAATCGAGGGCAAATGAATGAAAATGAGTACAAATCAAATTATTATTTCATGTCATTGTTATTTTACTTAACTGTAATATAGCTGAGATTTTCCTCATGTATTTATTTGGCAAAATACTATTCCATTTTTACAATCAGAATATTAAAAATATCTTGAAATTTTTCTTTTACTATTATAACGAGTCTAAAGGCTTATGTTGTAAAATATCCCTAAATATAGAATTGAAACTTACTAAAATGATTGTTTCACACTTTATAAGAAAAGGAGGAAATTATCATTGCTATAATCCTAGTTTGTTTTGAACAGAACCTATCTTACTTTTTTATTTGCGGTTATCTCTTAAATGCTTGACTTTTATATCTTCCTGAATTATCACTTCGAATTGCGTTTTGGTTCATCTTGCAACGTTTGCTCATATGAATTGTTTTATTTGAAGCGACCATTTTTTAATTATTATTTCAATCTTATTTGCGTATTTATATAATACTTAATATATAATAAGCTGAAGGAATGGTTATTAAATCTTAATTACAGATGCCTAAGTGTTTTGTCTACTAATTCCGCTTATATCAATTCTTATTACGACTTTCTATTTTAATTTTCGTTTCCAGTAGGGCTTCGAGACAGACAAATGTTTTACTAGGCTTCGTCTTTACTAACTACAGCATAATGAAATATTATTAAGAGTAGCGAGCAGACCTTATTATAAAAACTGTATTCACCCTAGGTCGTATGTGTTGATAAAAGACTAATAGCTGAATTTTCCCACAATGATAGGTGTAAAAATTAAAATTCACATAGCCTTGCTTCCTACGAGTTGTCCTTATACATGGTGAAATGCAATTTAACTCTTGCTTAAGCCTCGTTAAACCCATATTAAGGTGCGGACGAAGCAAGGCTATTCGAATTGCAATGAAATCGTGAGGTCTACTAATCTGATTGTTGAAAAAATTCGATATAACTCTATGTCATCTTGAGTGAATGAAGTATTTTTCCTAGATCTGCTGATGGCCCCAAACCCCATTTAAATATAATATCTTCTCAAAATCTTTTTATCTGCAAAGTAGAAGGTTTATAATGAGTCGTCTCAATCCATCATCACTAAATCGATTAGCCTAATTGTAGGACACCATATGTCAGGAAATGTAAGCTGTATACAAAATATTCGCTTTCCACTTAACATCAAATCCTTATATACATTTACCATGGTGAATTCGTATTGTAGTTTCATGCCCAATTATGCTAATATTCTAAGCAAATTGGAGGAGTTTTTCAAAACTAAGAACAAAGAGATTGTTTAAATCTGAGATAGTAAACGAGTTTTTATGCAGCCGAAACAGCGTCAGCAAACAT